CCGGGCCGGCGAGGCGGTCGGCGAGGGAGCCGGCGTCGGGGTCGGCGAGGCGGCCGGCGTTGAGGCGACTGAGGAGGCGGCCGCGCCCGATCCCGCGGCGGGTGAGGGAGGGGCGCCAGGGGCGCCGTCAGAGCCGGCCGAGGAGGCCGAGGGGGCGGGCGCCGACGTGAGGGCGCGAGGACTGCCAAAGCCCGGAGGTGGTCCGCGGGCCAAACGGAACCGTCCGCCTAACGGAGTCGTCGAAGGGCCGCCGGTGGCCGGCGGTGACGAGACGACCAGGGGTACCTGCTGCTGAAACGGAAACACCATCTCATCAAAGTAAACGTGTCGGGAGGTGAAAACACGATGGGAGACGGGATCATAACAGCGATAGCCCTTAGTGTTGGGTGGGTAGCCGAGAAAGATGCAGGCGACGGAGCGGGGTGCAAGCTTATGAGGCGCAGTAGCGGCGATGCTAGGGTAGCAAAGGCAGCCGAAGATGCGAAGCCCATCATAAGAGGGGGGTGCACCGAAGAGAAGATGATGAGGTGTAAAGTTTCCGCGAGTACGACATGGGCGGATGTTGATGAGGAGAGAAGCGGTGGCGAGAGCGTCAGGCCAAAAGCGCGGAGGCACATTGGCATGAAAGAGAAGAGTCCTAACGCAGTCATTGAGAGTGCGAAGGATGCGCTCAGCACGACCGTTCTGTTGCGAGGTGTACGAGCAAGTGAGACGAAAAATCGTGCCATGTGTGGTAAGAAGATTACGAACGGTGAGGTTGTCAAACTCCTTCCCGTTGTCTGTCTGCAATGCGAGACTGGGACGACCAAACTGTGTGAGAACATAGGAGTAGAACGTGGCGAGAGTGGATATAACATCCGACTTGCGGCGCAACGGGAAGGTCCACACATAATGTGAAAAATCATCAAGTATGACAAGATAATAAAGAAAGCCCGTATTACTGGCAACAGGAGAGGTCCAAACATCACTATGAATTAACTCAAACGGGTATGATGCAACAAAATAAGAAGCCCTAAACGGAAGACGAGCATGTTTGCCGAGGCAACATGCATGACACGAGTGATCCTCGTTCTTATTACACGTGAAAGAAAAACTCCGAAGTATGTGACGAAGGGTGCAGGATTAGGATGACCCAAGCGAGCATGCCAAAGATCCACTCCGGTGGTGAAAGCGACAGGGGCGGCGGAAGTGGTGGAGGTGGCGGAGTGAACCGGGTAGAGCTCGTCGGGGCTATCACATCGGTGGAGCACCATCCGCGTGCGAGCGTCCTTAACAGAAAAACCACATGCGTCAAATTCGACGGTAACCGGATTTTCACGTGTAAGAGAACGGACAGAAACAAGATTTTTAATAAGTTCAGGAGAAATGAGGATATTAGACATGGATATAAGAGTGGAGTTAGACGGAAAATATGTATGACCAATATGAGTGATGGAAAGGGAAGAGCCGTCACCGACGGTGATGCGGTTGGAGATGTGGACAGGATGAGCGGTGTGAAGGTTACCGGGGTACGTCGCCATGTGAGCGGTGGCGCCGCTGTCCATGTACCAATCGCCGCCGCCGGTGTAGCCGGACGGGGAGGGAGCATTGTGGAGAGCCGCCAGGAGGGCCGGGTCCCACGGTGCCGGCGAGAGAGGCGGTGCAGCCGTCAGGGGCAGCAGCGGCGGCCCACCTGGCGGCGATTGCTAACCGTAGGGCGCGGCGTAGGGCTGCGGCGCGGCGTAGTACGCATGGTGTGGCTGAGGCCGAGTACCGAGAAGGCCCGGGGCAGGGGCCCGAGGAACCGGCATGGAGTAGGCGTGGACAACGCCGGTCCATGGGTTCTGGCCGGCGTACCACGGGGTCAACTGAGGGGCCTGCTGTGGCGGGCGGGGCGCTCCTCCCTGAGCACCACCGCCGTCCCCCTGCTTGCGGCCGCCA